TCTTTTCAAAACAATATGGAAATTAAGACCTGGGAAGGAAATTTGAGTCACAAAGTGGACAGTCAAGGGAGTGAGGACTGAATTAGATGCTTCTGTGATTGCAAATCTGAAGTCACTGAGTCACAAGTGCTGCTGGGCAGGCTCTGGGGGAGCACGTTTCCTCCTGGAGCCTATTCCTAAATAAACAGACCCCCGCCCTCCCGTGCATCCCAGGCTATAAAGAGTGAGGGCAACTCCAAGCGGAATGGCCTATGACTCAGTGAAGCATCTTCACAGATGTCGAGCCCAGAGTCAGCTCTAATTCTAAAGCAATACAATTTTGGTGTCTGAGCAAAGTTAGGCCGCATCATCCACAGAGGATGGCCTGTTCTGTGAGTCATAGCTCTGAATACTTACATCTCATTCTGTTCTATCACTGGTTTGAATCTGTCAGACCCTCAAAGTGCCACCACCACCAATGAACGGACATGACCAATTTATAAATCAATTTCTGTAACAGGAAGTTGAGTTTCCTTTCTTTGTAGGACTTTCAAGGTAAGCCTACCATATATCAGACTACATATAACACACATACACATGCGCGTTTTTAGATGACTTAGGCCAAAGGCAAAAAACAAATTCAAGAAAAACGTCATGCCAGAAAAATGTTCAGGCAGCTAATTCTACCAAAATTTGTTTGAAAACATAACCGAGTTTTAGAGAAATGATTATTTTTAGGGGTGAAGAGATGGCTTGGCTGTCAAGAGCACTGGCTGCTCTTGCAGATGACCTGAGCTCAATTCTCAGCACCCACATGGCACCTAACAACCATCCTTAACTTCAGTTTCACGAGATCCTTACCCTCTCTGGCCTCTGAGGGCATTGCACGCATGGATGCACTTACATAAATGCAGGCAAAACACTCATACACATAAAAATAAAATAAATAAGTAAAGATTTTTAATTAATATATGAGACCCTATCTAAATACAACTCAAAAACCAAAACAAAAATAATTCTTGTTTTTGAATGCAAATTTCAATACTTTACTAGAGATATTTTGATTTTCAAAAGGCACATATGCAGCTAGGCACAATGGCTCACACACCTTAATCCCAGCACTTGGGAGGCAGAGGAAGGCATTTCTGTGGGAGATGGAGGTCAGCCTGGTTTACATAGTGAGTTCCTGGCCAGCTGGGGTACAGGAGACCCTGTCTTACTTTCCTTTCCCATCTCCAGGAGCACAGGTCCTGTAGTTCTCTGTCTCCTGCGAGAAAGCCAAGGACCCTTCTGAAGGTTGAAGTTGTAAAAGTTCCCAGCTGAAGAGGCTTAGTTCAGAGATCCACTGTGCCATCAATACAAATAAGATTTTGATGACACTGGAAATTTGCTAATTGATGAGTTTCCCATCAATAATCTTATGACCAAAAAAAGATTTGGGGAGCAGGGACAATGCTGTTTTGTGGACATGGGATTGGCTAAAGAGGTAACTGGGTGGGATGTGGGGCTTCAGCGTCCAGCAGATCCTGTGAATGAACACGAGGTCTACTAATCCTGTGTGACTTCTCAGGACAGAACTGAACCCCCATCATCACTAGGCATCTGGTGTTCAGCTGTCTGCGTTCTGCACCACTACATCAGACCTGAATTCAGGTTCATTAACTGGGGGTGGGGTGGGGGTGACATTTGCATGGGGGTCACAAGTCAGCTACTCCTGCTTAGGATGGGGTTCCAGCTGTGAGATGCTGGGCAAATGACTCAGCATCTCTGAGATCTTACTTATCATACTGATAAGAAGGCCCAAGGTCCAGGGGAAAAGACACACAAAACATAAGATATTATTACAATTATCTTTAAGAATTGCCAAAGCAGTTAGTTGAGGGGATGGCTCAGTTGGGAAAGTGCTTGCATTGTAAACATGAAGACCTGAGTTTGAGCCCCAGAGTCCTTGTAAAGAAAGGATGTGGTGGTGCACACTTGTAACCCTAGAGCTGGGGAAGTGGGGACAGGTGGGCACCTTGGGCTCTCTGACCCGTCAGCTTGAACTACTTGGTGATCCTGAGGCCAAGTGAAAGACCCTGGCTCAAAAAATATGGTGGTCTGGCCTCCACATGTATATAGACACACATAGACACAGAGAGAGGAGAGGAGAGGAGAGGAGAGGAGAGGAGAGGAGAGGAGAGGGGGAGAGAGAGAGAGAGAGAGAGAGAGAGAGAGAGAGAGAGAGAATATGCTGGATAGCTTTAGTGTCAATCTGAGGGAGCCTCAATTAGGGAATTGCCTTCATTGGACTGTCCTGTGGCCATGTCTGTGGGGCATCTTCTTGATGAGTAAAGTGGGAGGGCCCAGCCCACTGTGGGTGGTGCCACCCCTGGGCAGGTGGGCCTGGATTGTATAAGAAAGTAGGCTGAGCAAGCCAGTAAGCAGTGTTCCTCCATGGCCTATGCCCCAGCTCCTGCCTTGAGTTCCTACCTTGGGCTCCCTCAGTGATGAACTGTGACCTGGGAGATGTAAGATAAAATAAGCCCTTTCCTCCCCAAGTTGGTATTGGTCAGAGTGTTTTGTTACAGCAGTGGAGAAACAAACTAGGAGAGAAATTGGTACCAGGAGTGGGGCATTGCTGTGACAGACCTGACCTTGGTGTTTTTAGGAGGACTGTGGAAACATTTGGAACTTTGGGCTGGAAAAGCCATTGCGTGCTCAGAGTTTGTTACAGTGGAGCTTGGAACAGTTATGCTGAAAGAGTTGTAGATGATGGAGGCCTGGCTTGTGAAGCTTCAAAGGGAAGCGGAGACTATCAGGGCTGTTCGTGTGAGATTTTGGATTGAAGATCTGTGGGTTCTGGTCGGCTGGGGCTGAAGAATCATGTTATTAAGAAGAGATCAGAACCTGAAGCAAAACCTTTGCTTTACTGGGACAACTGATGCTAGTTAGCTGGTGCTGAAAAATCAGCTGTAGGTACAGAATGCAGCCTTCCCCCCTCCCCCACCTTTCCTGTCCTTAGATTTTCAGCTGGGTTAGCTAACTCTCATGTCAAGTTCTTAGAACTTGATGTAAGACTTGCTCCTAAATTCTGACTGATATAGTAAAATCATTTAAAAAATATTTTATTTGTTATTTTTATTTTATGTGTATGAATATGTATTGCCTGCGTGTGTTTAAGTGCACCCATGTCGTGCAATGCCTGTGGAGGTCAGAAGAGGGTATTGGATCCCCTGGACCTGGAGTTATGGACAGTTGTTAGTTGCCATGTGGGTGCTGGGAACTGAACCCAGGTCCTCTGCAAGAGCAGCCAGTGCTCTTAACTGCTGAGCCATCTCTTCAGCCCTGACATATAAAATCGTGACATGATACATTAGGTATAAACTGCTTGGAAAACTTAGGAGAGTTTTGTAAATTTATGTAAGCCCGAATGAAACATCCATCTCCCACATATTCCATCGCTCCCAGAAGGGGAGGATAAATCCAAAGGCACCATGTTATTTTGTCTGCCAAGACCTTTGGAGATGACTGTCTGCTTTAAAATGAAGAGGGTGATTCCTCACTGTGGAGCAGCAGCCAAGTCTCTGTCTATGACACTCCCTTAACAGAAGATTTCCGTGTCTCCTTTATTACTAGGGCTGGTCACTCTCAGTTTCTTTGGTTTCAATTTTGTAAATAATCCAACAGCCCCTGTCAATCCCATTTTGCTGTTTATCTGCATGCAGATACCTCTGTCCGAAGTCCAGATGAAATTACTTCTGCCATGTTTATTTTCCAAGGATGTGCCCACAGCTTACCTAAGCCTAGTGGAACACAAACTGTGGCGTGATAAGCACTCATGCTGTGATTAGCTCTCTTCCAGAACAATACTCTTTAGCAACTCCTGCTGTTTGTTAAATGTACTTGGGAAAATTAAGCTGCTTCAGCCTCCACATTTGCAGCAGCTGCAGGACCAGGCCAGCAGCAGGATTCCATTTCTTGCTGAACATTTCTCAAAGTGTTATGGTGGTGAGCACAGACAGAATGCAGGAGACAGAAGCAGCTGGGGGTCAAGACGTGCAGGAAAAGCGACAGGGTACTGGGCGGGGGCATGGACGGGACAAAGTGAGGGAGGAGCAGGCAGGGAGAGGAGAACAGCAACCACGAGAGCCCAGAAAGTCACTTCTGGGTGCCCCAGGTCTGCAGCTGGTCTTTAATGTGCATCCGAACCAGTGTCCTTCCCGCCTGCAGGATTAAAGGGAGCGGCTGCTGGTGTGGGTCTGACAACCCCGAACTGAAAACTTGCAAACCCCTCTTCCTCATGTGCTTCCTTCCTCTTGGGCTCCAACTTACGTACTTTTTTTTCTTTTTGAGATTGAGTTTCATGTAGCCCAGGCTGCCCTCAAACTTTCTGTAGCCAAAGATGACCCTGAACTCCTGACCCTCCTGCCTCCACCTCCCAAGTCCCAGGGCTTCATTCATACTAGGCAAATACTGTACCAATTGAGCTACACCCCCACATCCCAAATTATATACTTTTGCGAGATCAGGTGGGTTTGGCCATCAATTCAATGTTGTGAAAGAGCTTGAAACGGAGTGGCCTGATCGAAAGTATGAGACCTTGCTCCTGGGTGCACGATTAGACCCGAAAAGGCCACAAAATGTGACCACACACCAGTGATGCCCTTCAGGGCTGCTGAGCAGAGCCAGCTCTCTCTCTCACCAGCCCTGACTTCTCCCAAGGCACTGTGGCTCTGTGAGCACAGTGGTCCACTCACTACTATGTGGGGTGTGATGGGCTTCCTTCCTGTTAGTGAGGATGGAGCTGGGAAACAGGGGACTCTGTTCTTCAGAAGCATAGCAGGAAGTAGACAGAGTTGCTCTTGGGAGGAGGCATCACAGAGGGGCCACAGTGACCTGTGGTGCCCTTGGAGCTATCAATGGAAGAACCCCCAGGCTTCTGCCTGCTAAGGTGCCCTGTTCCTGCCAGGAGAGCTGGGCAGCTCATTACTTTATTCTGCAAGTTTCCAAGAGGAAAAACAATGAAAGAGCTATCTTACCCATGAGGAATTTTGCTCAGGACATAATATCCAGTGTAGGAGTGCTGATAAATCTGCAAGAAAGAAAAGGAAAAGCAAGTGGTGAGACGAACGCTGTGGCTGGTACTTCTCAAATCCCCGAACCCTGGCAGATGTCAGTAGCAAGAGCAGCTCATCCAGAGGCCTACAGGCAAAGCCTCATTGATTTAGGATATCTGCATATCCTGTTTGTGCTATTTCAATGTTCTCTGTAGTTTATCAGGCAGTCAGCGGCTGGATATCATCTCCATGGTTACCTGATTACTAATTAAGTTAGGAGCACAGATTTCCAGCTTAACTGAATACAGCATAGCATTAATGAGGGCACATCGTCATTGGAGTTGGTCATATATGGTCAGCAAGACCTGATAGGACAGAAAGACCCATGGACTGCTGGAGTTCCTACAGAGTATGGCCAGGGAGTCCCCTGAGGCCCCCACTCTGTGCCTGCAGTGAGTGTGGAACAGGAGTCAAGGCAGGTATAATTGGGCGTGTTCTTGTCCCTCCTGGCTTCTGAGAAAGTGGCAAACTAAGAGGGCACAAGAGTGAGTTAGAAACAGCTGGGGTACAAAGAGAGGAGAGAGCCAAAACAGACTCCAAACTTCTGGAACCCCCAAATCCCAGAAGACTTTTTTGATCTCTTGAGTCAGGCTAGTATTCCCCAACCCATGAACAACGATGAGATTGAAGCCAGGACCCGTGAGAAGGGAGGGCACACCCAGCTTCCTGGATGAGCCCCTCCCGGATGTAAGGAAAGTGCTGGGTTATTCTCTGGGGGGCGGGGCATGGAAACACTACTTTACCACCATTCATCTACCTGTAGACCGTCTAAGGGGTTGTGCCCTGGGCTGCGAGCTAGCACCTGAAGCTGTCTTTCTAAGGACAGGCGTGGGTTTTCAGCTTGCCATGCCCGCCTGCTGCAGCCTTTCTTACAGCAGCTGCAGAGGAAATGGCAAGCCTCCTATGGAGAAATCTCTAACCTCCCCGCCACCCAACAGACTCATCAGGTACCCGGACCGCAGGAGTATGTCATCCATACTCACTTCCTCAAGACAGTTTCCTGACCTCAGACTTCTGGACTTCCACATGAGAGGCTTACTGGTGTGACCATCCCCCACCTCCCACATAGTAAGTACACCAGAGCTAGACTTGTCCCTCCTCTCCCACATCTCAGAGTCTCATATTCCTTCCCTGGGACTCTCTCCTCTTTCCTTGATGCCCAGGAATCAGGGTTAGCCTGGCTTCGAGGTGCTATAGACCGCTCATTCATTAACTACAGAGGCATGGGAACCTCCCCTTCGCTCTGTATAAAGGAAGCCACACTGCACTCTGCCTTGTGGGTCTGAACTCTCCTCAGAGACCCGCCACACAGCTGCGTGCCTGTCTAGCATTAATGAATCTCCTGATAAACCTCCTATCCTGAAGGACAATTGACCTTAGTGTCCCCCTTGAGGCCCAAACCCAAGACCTTTCAGATACTAGGGATGTGTAGGGAAGGATGCAGAGCACGGCACATGGGGGTGTTTGGTGCTGATGACGGAGGTGAGCTACAGAGGAAGACGACAGATTTCCTAATGCTGATGTCCACCCAGTCAGAACCACTGAATCACCTTCCAGGCACTAAATCAGACAAAAGGATTCAGATAGTAAAACAAACAACAATGCTTAGGCCTCAACAAATTGAACTTCCAGAAACGCTGCGATTCTGGAACCGAATCACGTGCTCAGGCTGGCCTTCTAGATGACCGTGGGTGAGCAGATACTTCTGTGTTTAGAAACAAATCGCCGTGAAGGAAGAGAATTGTGCAGCGGAACAAAGCCGCCACTGTGACCCGGCAGGCAACATGACAGCCCGAGTCAGCTGCTGCTTCTAACCACCCGCCGCAGTACAGCTCTCCCAGGAGAGGTAAGAGAATATGATCACAGCACATTATCTACATGTATGAAACTGTCAGCATTGAAACTAGTTTATCAAAAAGAACTAGCCTGACCAAGGGTGGGTTGCTCACTTCTCCATTACAAGTCCAACCTCACTGTCAACTGAAAAATCCAGAACGGTGACAATAAAAAATATGCAAATGCTTTTATTATAATACATTATGCAAAACATGCAAACCTTCTACCTAGAAATAGTAACTGAAACTCATTTCCTGGTCGTGTCACCTCCAAAACATACACCTGGAGTCGCGTCCTAGCAGCTCTCCTTAGATAGGTTCCGACAGCCCTGAAACTGCTCTATGGGCATCCTCTAATGGAACCAACCGTACAGGAAGACCAAGAGCACGTTCACCCTGCCTGGGGTCACATCCTTAAAGAAAACCGCCTCTCTCTCTCCCAGCAGCTTCCTGTGCAGGTACTGGGGCTTCAGTGCCCACCTCCCCCTCCATGCTGGAACTTTATGTATTTTTTAAAATCTAAAATAAAAAAAGTTATGTATATGTGTATCTGCATTTGGTATGTATTTGTACACTGATACCCAGAAGAGGGTGTCTGATCCCTAGAGCTGGAGGTACAGGGCAGTTGTGAGTCTCCCTACGTGGGTGCTGGGAACTGAACTCAGGACCTCTGCAAGAGCAGCAAGTACTCTTAACCACTGAGCCATCCGTCTCTCCAGTCTCTTTTTGTGACCAGTTTAAAATTTAGATCTGTGTTGGAGGATTTTGTGTATCTTTTGACTGTTTTACATGTAAAGTTTTCAGTGATAAGTTTGTGTGTGAAGAGCTTTTGTATAGAGAATGAACATTAGAATGAGGAGACATCTAAGGAAGGGTTTTGTCTTTCAGGGAGAAAAGTCAAACATTTGGTTGTGATTCCACTGTTTTCAAAGTTTTCCTTCAGGGACATCTCTGGTGTCTAGAAACCTTACTGTCTAGGGGTCTAGATCAGGTTCGGGTTCTCTGCCACTTAAAGAGTTAAAAGGCAGGAAGAGTCTCAAGCACAGTATGTCCTTGAGTGAAAACTTTATCAAAAGTGAGACTCTTCTCTGTCACAGACAGACTTCCCACAAGTGAGGATTTGGAAACTGAAACCCGAGCCCAGCCTCACAGGGCCTGGGTCTTTTAAGTGTTTTGGTGGTGTAGAGTGGGCCCCTCCCCTTATTTGGACTGACCAGTTTAAACAAAGAAGATGGGACTGATAGGCCCACAAGGTCATGCAACCTGAGATAAGTCCAGGATGACCTGACCTTGGACATGTCTGAGCAGGTCAACTGGAAGGGGAGGGAGGTCCTGCAAACATTGAAAACAAAGCCTGCCAAGTCTTTGTCCTGGGTGAAGAAGTTGGGAGTCTGACATCTTGTTGTTTATCTGTGGCCTCTCTCCCTGTCTGCCTGCCAGGGGGCACATCTGCCTTCAGAAATGCCTGGGGATTCTTTTACCATCTCCTCCAGGCTCCACTGGGACATTTCAATTATAGTAGCTGCGTCATACGTCTGAGGTTCTTCTGGAAACAAACGAAGCCAGTCAAAGCCTAAAGGAAGGGACCACAAGAAAGCCACCCCCTGCACCCAACTAGTTTTCTAGGACACCTGCCAGTGTGCCCTGCCTGATTCCCAGGCCGGTCACATCCCTGTCCTGTGTTTGTCCAGTCATCACAGACAGACACTTGTGCTTTGCTACCATCCCAGTAGCCGACGTTCTAGCCCCGCTTTTCTTGCTCTGTTACAAGCCTCTGCTGACTCGTTCCTAATTTTCCCTGAGAACACAGTTCTTCTTTCTTGCTTGGCTGGCTATTCTTTGTCTCCTGCACACGCTGTCTGTAGCACAGGCCTTGTAGACAGGCCAGACAGAAAGAAATACACGTCCTTACATTGTATGAGTCTTCAGAACTTACAAAACATCTTTCTGAATTCCTTAACATGACCTTCACAATAGCTTGTCAAGCCAGCAGCTTCCCTTGGCATCATCTTTCAAATGAAGAAACTGAGGCTCAGAGAAGCAAACTGAGTGGTCCAAGGTCACGTAAAGTGGAGGGAGAAGAGCCCGGGGCTTAATGGCTACACCTGTACCTAAGGCTGTTTCTACAATACTGTGCTGGCAGGAGAGGGTCTTCCACGAACTACGTTGTCTCTACCAGCCAGGACTGCCTCACTGAGAGATGAAAGTTCTCTGTACATACCTGGAGGCAACTGGCAGATCTATCCACCCACGTAGGGGGCTGTTTCCAGCTCCTTCCATTGGCCTAGCACCTTCTCAGGTTCTCTCTAGGTACCTAGAGTCCTTGTTAGTTCTCTCCACCTATCTAGAGCCATTGCGGCTCTCTCTACCTACCTCGAGACCATTCGCCCATTCCACCTGCCTAGAGACCACTGCTGCCTCTCACCGTCTACTAGTTCTCTCCACCTATCTAGAGCCATTGCGGCTCTCTCTACCTACCTCGATACCATTCGCCCATTCCACCTGCCTACAGACCACTGCTGCCTCTCACCGTCTATCTGGAGAACACAATTTTCTACCAAGTCACCTTTACGAGCTGTTTTTCTGTTGCTGTGATAAGATACCATGACCAGCAGCAACTTAAGGAAGAAAGGTTTTTTTTGGATTATGGTTCCAGAGGGATAGTTTGTAATGGTGGGGGTGGGGCATGGCACAAGGAAGCAGGAGAAGAAAAATGGTGGGTTGCAGCTTTCATCTACTCACAGGAAGCAGAGAGGGGAAGGACTGGAAGCCGAGCAGAGCTATAAAGTTTCAACACCTGGACACTGACGTCCTTCCTCCAGCAAAGTGCCACCACCTTAAGGCTCCAAGACCTCCCTAAACAGTGCCACCAATGGGGGACAGACTGTTTAAATACTTACGGGGGACATTGCTTGTTCAAAACAGTTCAGGCCTTGGCCTTCAATAAGCCAAGCACTTCTTTTAGCTTAGAAGGTGGTTTCTCTTCTGTGTCTAACTGCAGCCCATCTGTCAAGTGTACTGCACCCAAATCCTCCTTTGTAAGCATTTCGTGACATTAGAGACCCTCTCCCCCTGGCTGTCAGCAACATTTTGTACGGTTCCATCTACTGGTCATGTTTGCTAATAAAATCATGTATGCA